TCAGTAAGTTCACTCCAAAGCAGACAGCAGAAATAGGCCCCAAAATTGAAGTTTCTTGTAAACCATCATACTGGAAAGGTGGGAGAGCCAGGAAGACGGGGGTTCCCAAAGGGCAGCCCTGCCTGCCTTGCTCTACGGTTCTTGTTTGGCAAGGCCTGCAACAAAACCTGCCTGCTCTCAGTACGTTTCTTTCCCATTTGCTGTCCCTTTGCTGGGCATCTGCTTTCTTGGCACCACCTTCATTGTATCTAGCTTCCTCTACACCAATTTTCCCAAGGTAGAGGGACCAAAGCACGCGCAGCGAGTCTTGTCTGCTATAGCCTGCAGTATTTTCTTTCTGATTCCAGCCCTCCTTGTTCAAATAGGTACTTGCTGGCTTAGCTTTCTTCCTAAGTAGAGATTCTTGCTTGCAGTGATGCCATGGAAAACCTTTACCATACACAAATTCTGTGTGGCAGAGCTCTGAGAGCCTGGTTACAACAACTGGAATTTAATGTGCTTTATGAGCCTGTATCATTTAACACAGCCATCATGCTGACTTCATACTAAATTCAATGTAATAACCCACTATTGCACTGCAGCCTATTTTCATTCATATGATATAAGGGAAAGCCATTAGCTTCTTTTTTTTTAATGAACTGCTGCAGCACTGACACGGGTTTAGCCAGCCCAAGAGCCTTTTGACATGCTGTTAATTGTGAGCCTGACCCTCTGATTTCCTATTTTAATTTCCTCCCACTCTGCATGCCCTGGAAGCCAGCTAGTCGGTACTTACAGAAGACAGATCCTAGAGCACTCTGGAAGCCTATTCTACATTTAATAGGAAATCTTGCTGTGGTGTAAAAGAGAGCTCTCAAAAAACTGCCTATCTGTTAAAAATGCAACATCTTATTTCTGTGAACAACTAATTTGTGTTTAAGGAGGCATGTCCCACATGTCTAGGATTGCCCCAGGTGGTAATCCAGCATTTTCTGAGCTCTCATAAAAAATTCTTCCTGTTACCTTGTAACTAAAAAAGGGTTTTTAAAAAATTATACATTTTAGATTTAATGACATTTTTAAGAATCATAAACATCACAAACCTTGAATTATTGATAAAATTGTAAAAAACCCCCACCTTTCTATTAAAATAGGAAAAAAATTAACTGAAAATTTTGGTGGGGGAAACAATAGTTCTTCCACCAGCTCTTCTAAATATGATGGTTTAACAACAGACATTAGCAATAATCTTGGGTGTTCTTTGAAGTCACTGCTCCCGCCCTCCTGTGTTTTAATTGAAGACTGATTAGAAATGAGCACAAATACCCCCAAAACAATGGTTTTCTTTTATACACCTTAAAAAAATTAACTTGGGTAACTGAAGATACAAATTTCCTAATATCATAAGAGATGCATTAATAAATGTAACAACTGACAGGATGTGTACATAATGGTTTAGTTTTCAGAGATGACACGCAACATTACAAATGGAAAAGAGGCTGCCCTGCAAAATGAGTTCGCTGGGTGTCAGGCTTGTGTAGTGGGTCAGTGGCATGGTGCCCTGAGGACCCTGTCTCCACCAGCGGGAAGGAGGATGCAAGAGTCATGGTCTGAGCAAATGGTCAGATATCCTGGGAAATGGCCCTGAAGCCTTCATGTAATCATTCAAGACCAAAAAGTTAGTGTTAGTTTTAAATATAGAAAGAAACTTCTCATTGAACAGAAGCTCCTCCTCACAAACATATCCCACACATGAGCACCCGAAAGAAGTAACTGGCTAATAATTAGTTTTGGAACCAGTGCAATTAAGCTAAATATTTTTGTTAAGTTTAGTTTAAGAAAAGCACCCCCTTAGTGCTGCTGCTGCTGCTTTCATGGAATCTCCTCAGCTCTGCAATGAGGGTACTCCAATGCTACCAAGTAACACGAGTGAAAATATATATTGTGGTGTTTTCATTCATTTTAGTATTATCCAAGAAGGAGAAAAAAAATGCAATTTTTCAGAAGAGACAACACCTGGCTTTATGTTTTCATTTCAGAACAATACAGGAAGATTATTTCTTACTGTGACAGAAAAAAGAAAGTTTGTGAAAAATGTCATGAAAATCCTATCTTTAATTACTATTTAAAAAAAATATTTTTCCTTTATTCAAAATGTCATTTTGAGATACAGTAAGGAAAAAAGGTCAGGATTACTGAGTCATTACCTATTTCAAAGGCACTCACCTCAAGTTATTTCTTAGGTAAGCCACTTATTTGAGCTTTAGTTAAGTACAGGTTAGATATTTCCTCTGCTTGTACTTCCGAAATCACAACTGTAGTGTCAGTGTCATCGTCGCTGCATGTCATGTGCCCCGTCTCCCCCCCGCCCCAACTTGTTTTTATCAAAACACTCTAACCAGACACCTTACAGGAGATCTGGCTGAGTGCAATATTCTACAATTAACTGTCTGGAAGTAGTTATGTCGAAGTTTCTTTTGCCACCTGAAGCTGACGACAGGAAGGAATGAAAATACATCAGTTCCTGCTGTGACACTGCATTTGAACTGGATAAAATATCGAAGCTGTGAAACATCAGGAAAAGACCACAACTGGTACCATACAGCAAGTGTCAGTGGTATTAGCAACATTACCTGTTCTTCTTCCACATCTAAAAGATGGAAAAAATCTATCACTAAAATGCTCATGAAGAAAAATAAGTCAGTTTACAGCTACAAAGCATCTTCATTATCTTTTGTAGATTATTGTCAATCGTTTTCACAAAAAAAAATTTGTAGTTTACTCTGTGAAAGCAGCTGAATTGTAAAGACTCACTAAAATTAACAGCGATAAATTAAAACCGAGTAAAATAATAATTGTAATTCAATATATTATTAGCATTAGTATAAATATTTACATTTATTTCTGTTCTGATACTGGCAGGAATTGAAAATACATGTTAGCAGTAAGCCACACTGGAATGTCAAGCAGCTTTTGAATCCAAATATGCATAATCGTTCATATGAAACACACATAATAGTTAAATTGACTCAATTATCCTTCACCCACATGCAGTGAGTCATCATATTAAATATTAAGAAAAAACTTTTATTTTAAAAATTCCTAAAATCTTTGTGCAGGGACGGCTACCACCCTGTAACAGCACAAGACCTTTTGCAGGATTTGCAATCTACTCCACAAGAGGGCAACCAAATTCCACTATAAAATGGATAAATAATTCTGTAGAATTTAAAAGTGACCATTCATTTTAGCTAAAAGCCAGAATATCTCCCCATCCTAGAGTGGCTGGGAAAAAGCTAGACACACACTTAACTTTGTGGGGCTGGGGGGACCCAACCTCCACCTCTTTTTCCCCTCAAACAGTGGTGACAGCGAACTTGTACACATGTGGGAGAAAGGTGTATTTAAAGAAACAAACTATTTTTCTTTTTATGGGATTTTAGTATCTTCAGATACAGCAAATATCCTGTAATTTCGGGCATCAGCTAAAGCATTTCACTTTACTGACAATAAAGCCCCCACAGGCTGGGACAAATAAATAATGTGAAGTGGCTAGGATATAAGCAATTACTTTGTGCTGCAGGTAGAGATTAATTACAAGGAAATCTCTGTGACAGATTAGATCAGTGCAACCATCTTGTGGCCCCTTAGTCTTTTGCTCATAGTCTGTGAGCAGTTCCAGTGTGACTTCCCATGCTAAGGCTGCACTGCCACAACACTGGACATTTGGAAAATGCTACTCCACTCACTGTTCCAAGGACAGCATCAAAGATGCTTCACGTGTGGGGAACACCAGTTTAATCGTGCCACATGGCTTGGAAAATGGATACTGGCTCTGTTGCCTGCTGTTTTTACCTCACTGCGCAGTTGCTTCCTCTGGAGTGCCAAGCAGGTCCGTCCCTACTCTAGCCACATTTTTCACAACACCTTCTTCTCAGATCAACCGCCCCAGGCAAAACGTACAGTTCTTAAGATTCCTAAATTCTGAACTGAGAGGAGGCAACCTGCTTATTCCAACCGTTAAGAAGTGCAGCTAATACCAGCCTCTGTAACCAATCAGAACTTAGTGCTGTTGAATCTTTTGTACTTCTGAACTGTTGAAGTAGCTACAATCTGAAGAAATCAAATAAATTTAAATCCAAAATGCATATTGATGCAGCCTACACGTATATTTGTCACGCACAATAGTGTCTTTTGGGCTATGTTGGTAAGGTTCAATATCTCCATTCTCTTTTTAGGTTTTCACTTGATGGCCCATTGTTTAACTCAACTATGGCAACACTTTAAGAATATCTGCAACAATACACAGTATTGTTTTCTTTGTAAAAAGTACTTTAATATGTGACATTCATGAAACTATCTGAAAAAGTCTTGCCAAGGTAACAGAATATACTGTTCATAGGAACAAGAGAAATGTTGGAAACCAACACATTTTATGCACTAGCAGTAAGCTACAGCAGTACAACTTATTTGGAACATTACCCCTGTTTACTTCATAGTCAAATCTAAAGAGATGATAAATTGCTAGTACTTTGGAAGACAGTTAAGCTCTACAAGCCTTCACTATAGAGCTCATTGCAGACCTTCTGTTAACGGGACTCTTAACAAGCATGAGACACAACCCTTACTGCCATCACTATAAACGAAACAATTCTGTATCTTCCAGGTAAGCCTGGCAAGAACAGTGGATTTGCAGGGATGTGGCTAACAATTTCATTTAAAGCATAGTTCAAAACGAAACAACAAAGAAATGAACAGACTTCCAAAACCTGAAAACTTTCACTAAACAGGCTGATCAGATCATGTCTAACTTGGCAAAAGAGAATTTTCCAATAAGTAAACTTCGGTTTCTTGCTTTTTCACACTTCCTCTAAAATGTTCCAAAAATTAACACACAATTTTTTTGTTAGTTAAAAAATTACTTTGATCTGTAGTATTTTTTAAATTTCTCCTTTGGCTAGTTCCAGTTCTGAATGCACTGTTTGTTGACACAACTAGAGAGAAGCAGAGCAGCAAAGTACTTACTGTTCTGGACTAGAAACTGAAGTCCTTCTTCCTTCCACAGCAATATTGCTCTTGGGTCTCTTAACAACATGAGGTCTTGGCGGGCGAACCTATTACATACACACACAGAAGACATTTCATCAAATACTTCAAGTTGATCAAACAACAGACATAAATAACAAAACACGCATAAACACCTTAAGGTATCTTCCATTGAGAATTGCTTTTAAACTTCTTTATTTTCTGTGCCACAACAATGTTACAAATGAATATAGCTATACAAATGAATATAAAGTATGAATATAAACTACAGGGACCCATAACTTGTTTAAGGACAAAAACCCACGTTTTTGAATAGCAAATGAAACATATCTGCTTGTCACTGACTGTTAGCTATTAGCAAAGCAACAAAAATTTGTTCCACTGTCCTGTTTGGTACAGGCTAAATTTCTGATAAAAGCTTCCCTAAATGTGAGCTTCCCCTTGTACAGTTAGTTGATAGAGTAAAATTGGAAAATCCTGTGTGTTGCTGTGTATTATATTGGAAAGTGGAGTTCAGCTCTGACATCACGATCCTTTTGTCCACTTATTCATAGGAACCCAACTTCTCAAGTGAAGACTTCTGTGTAAGGGAGCACTGAAAAATTTGTACTTAGAATAAACGTTATAACATGAAAAACATAGCTCATTCTTCATTAAAAATTTGCTTCCTTTCAGCAGCTGAACAGAAACGCTTGCCAGACATATTATCATTATCACCCCTAATGTTATGTTAGTGTATCTTTTGTTGTCTGTAATAAAACCCAAAGCTTTCTGTGGAAGATGATGTTGCTGCTAATCCAATCTTAAATAACATATCCATCACCTTCTAGTGTTCAGATATCAAGCTTAATCTACTTGCAAACAAGCTTTACTTCACGGAAAGGAATAAGCACAACATGACTACTAAATAGGCGAAGTTTGTGCATGTGCCTACCTATACTAGTGAGTAATCCTGTTGATGAACTTATCCCTTTGAGTCCAATGTGGGAATGAACATTTGCAGCACTGGGATCAGCCTGTACAAACAAGCTTTCCATTTTTTATTAAGAAAGTACTACCTTACCTGAAATGGAGTCTGATTTGTTGGCTTAGCTGAATGTGAGCTTTAACGGAAATCCCCAAAGCCCTCAAATAAAGTTAGGAATAAACCTCAACTTCTGACCTCCCTGAGCTTGTGCTCCCTTAATAGCCACAATACAAAGGGAGCTGTTAAAGGCCTACAGCCTAAGCGCTCTTTGGATGACTAATGAATTTGTTTGCAATGATAGAATAGATGCAGGTTTCCCCCCACCTCTGCAAGTTTTTGGGGTTTTTTGTTTGTTTGTTTTTGTTTGGTTTTTTTGTTGTTGTTGGGTTTTTTTAAATTATTATTTGTTGGGGGTGGGGTCTTTCTGGGCTTTTTCTTTTTTTCTTTTTTCCCAGGCACATAAACCTCAAATTTTCTTCCCAGGAAAAAGCCACCGAATTATGTGTAGTGTTTCTGCACTACACAACAATATGCAGAAGATAGTGGCAGGATTATTGTATTGAATTTTCATTTCAAAGGAAATGGTGTACAGCAGATATGATGAAGAAATTCAGAGATGTATTGCCACTATTTCTTAGGAAAAAGGGCTTATAAAAAGGTCAGATGTTAAGGTCTTGAAGATCAGTCCCCACACAAGGCTGCTCCTCTCTACAATAGACGGCTTAAGAATGTGAATTTATGGCAGGAATGGAAGGATTAAGTTTGTGGCAACTTCAACTGAACTTGCAACGTGGTGAAACATGGGGAAAAGAACAACAGAGCTAATTAGAAGAGCTGAGCTGTCAGAGTGCGGCTGAATGGCTCGGTGCCAACAAACAAAAGGAATGGGCTGGCAATCAGCAGGATCGATGAAGAATACTGCTTCATTAGGGTTGATAAAAACAGAGAGAGCGAGCAAGAGAGAGCGAGTGCGTGCAAGAGAGGGGGGAGAGAAGCAAGAGGAATTGGGGGGAGAAGAGAGCGAGAAGGAGAAAGAGAAAAAAAGAGGAAGAAAGAAACCTGTTTAATTAAATCCGAGCTGGAGGATGATGTGTAAAGCTGGCTTGTCATCATGCTGTGAACACTTTCACCTTTTGGGTGGTACCCTGGGGGAGTGATGGTGATGAAGGGGAGAGATGAGAGTTTTGGATGGCTCCAGGGGGCCACCAGACCAGTAAAGTGCAGGGTGACATGCTAAGTAGGATTTAGAGCATTGTTCATGGGGGACTGCAGGGAAAAGGCAGGAATCAAGCCAATTTCTTGCTGGATTTTGAGCTTTATGTAGCCAAATAGGCAAGGTTAAATGCTTATCAAATGCAAAAGTATGAAAGAAATCCAATTACATGAGCACACAGCCAAAAGAATAAAGGTAAACATCCAGTACAGAAGGGTTAAATGTGCTTATTACTGTCCCCATCAACTTTATGCATAATTATTATATTTTAACTTTTTCTAATTGAATGACGTTTCCAAACAGCCACTATTAATCCAAACAGGTCTCTATTAATTATAAGTAACAACTCACTCTCTTTCATAATACCACCACAACTCATTTCCAAAACAGCAGAATGCAAAGAACCTATCTGTTCTGCTTCCTTAACCTTTCTTTGGTCTGTGTTTTTGTTTCTATTATTAGTAATGACTCATATTGCAAGGTCTAGTGCCCACAGATTCCTCCTCATAACATATATCCTGAAAACAGCAAGTATTTCTCAGCAATTCTGGTACTATGGGGACTTGGTTGGAAGAGCAGAGGGACCTGGTGTCCTTATTCAGTGCTTGCTGTAAAAGGCTAGGAAAAATTACTTGCTGATACCCACCTCTGTAATGTATGCCAAGACTAAGAGAGGGAAAAAGCAGCCTGCACAAAGTATTATTTACACACACAAAAATGCGTTTCAACTATTAAAAGCCAAATAACAGTTCTGAATAACAACAAATTTATGTATATTTGGTACAAGCATATTTTTGGAAGTGATTATAATCATTTACATTTATCTTGAATTTCCTCTTGATGAATGAAGCATTTCTGTTCCACTTAGTGACACAGCTAGATGAATGCAACAGGAGCTTTTAGTATTACATTTACAACCTTTTATCAATCACATTGGCAGCAAAGACAGTTGACACAAACACATTATAGCGAGGACTATTAATGCACTACAGCTGGGAGATTAAACAGTCTTAGCAAGACTTTGATGTAATATATTACTCAATCTGAACAATACTGTTTAGCAACTTTTGTACAGAGGAATCGCACTGTGCCCTCGTACAGCTGCCAAACCCAAAACAAGAGGGCTATGAAGCACTATGGGAACCCCATGGTACCATGGAAGGTTTGTTCCTAGTGTAACGTATCTGGGAGGGTCTCAAATATCAATTTTGTTTAAGAGAACACATATAAGCATAGTCAATGCTACCTTTTAAACACAGAAAACAGAAATCTTCAGAGCAGGAATCCATAAAAATGACTCTGTTAAGCTAAACACCCGGAGTTAAAAAGAGGGAAGAAAAGAAACACATGCTATTGAAATGTAACGTAGGAACATGCACCAAAGATCAAAAGTTAACACACACCCAAGTGCACTTGTTAACCAGTTGCCTGCTCATCAGAAACATATTTTTAACAAGTTTTAGCAAGATTAGATTTGAAAACTTGCATCTCTCTCTTTCTTACGCATGTACGTGTATGTATAAGGAAGCAAGGAGTAAGACTTATTTGCCTTTTGGGGGAATTATATTCATAAAGCAAAAGTCCTGAATAGAAATAAATATCTTCCAAGGCTGTTGCAAAAAACAACACCCCTTCTAAACTGATACCACTTTCCTGTACTACTAAAAAAAAAAAAAAAAAAAAAATCACTGGTGCAGATCCAGCACAGTCTCCAGTTTTAAAGCCATCTGGCATAGTCAATATGTAACAATTGTCCTACAGTTAGTGTTTTGAATGAAAAACTGCTGAGATAAGGTATCCCTGCCTAATACAGTACAGGTATTGCACTGAGAATAATTTCTGTGTAGTTCTTCTATGTAACAGTCATTTCCTCTGGCCAACATGCTGTGCCTACATTTTTTATCCTACGTAATTACATAGAGTCCCAGCTTGCATTTTAAATGAACATAAAGTATATATGTATATCATCCACAATGTGGTACTAATGTTCTACCGCCCAAATATAGACTCCGCTTTCTTCATGTGTATTCACTCATCTATTCCATGGAGAAAAATTAAGCGTCCCAAATTAATTTAAAGCATTTCTCTTCAGAATTCTGCTTCCTTTCATATTTGAGTTTAGTGCAAGTCTTCAAAAGCTCACTGGCTAAAAACTTATGCCAGCGCAGCAAGACTTTTTGTTTAAGAAATCACTGCAAAAGTAAAAACAAATGGTGCAACAGCAGCATCAGTTACCTGCAGAACTGACTGAAAGCTGCAGAACCCATCAAAGAAAAGCAGAATAAATGCAGGTCCCAGGGCTGTGCCGCAGCAGAGAAGAAGGGAGTTTAGGAGCATAATTCACACATTGCTTTTTTGCAAAGTTTGACAATCCAAACTACCAAGGTTTAGTAATGCTACTAAGAGCGTAATTCAGGCAGTGTTAAGCTGTGGCAGTGAAACAAAACTACCAGCTACTCACGGGCCTAGATGAACGCTGTATCTTTGGAGGCGGTGGCCGAGGCGGACGGAGTCTTTGCTGCTGTATCAAAGTGGAAACTAAATTAAATAGTCACCTACATGAAAACACCTCTGATTTTGTGGCAAAAGCAGTATGAGTGGATGACAACGTGATTTACCTTAACTTCATACTCACCTCACAAAACGCAATTTTTCTTTTTTTCCCCCCCAAAACAGTGACAAATCTCATGACCTACAAAGTGCCACAACAGGAAAGGTAGCTATACCTGCCTGCTGATGTAGGCTTTAACATAGCTTATGTTAAACCAAAGGTAGCACAATCAGCACTCCAGACCAGATCATCTAAAATTTACTGAGACAACAAAGACGCTTAAGGCAGATTCTTGGACCTTTAGGTCCAAGTGTTCTAGACAACATTTATGCAAATG